CGTTATTGCCACGGACATGCGAGCCCCAGACGCAGCGGCACCAAAATGGGTCGTCGAGGCCGATGTTGAGAAAGTCAGGTGGGACATTCATGATCCTAATTTCTTCTTCGTCACCACAGAAGCCGGTACCGTGCATTACTTTGATGCGCGGGTAGTTCCCACCTTTCATGACAAGCCGAACAAGCCTGTATGGACACTGCAGGCGCATGATGCCGCCGTCAGCGCATTTGATATCAGCCCCTCAGTACCGGGTCTTCTGGCCACCGGATCAGAGGACAAGAGGGTCAAGATATGGAATGTCGAGAACAACAGACCTGCTATGGTTGTGTCGAGAAATCTCGAAGTCGGGCGGATATTCTCTGCGCAATTCGCCCCAGATCCGGAGGTTGCCTTCAGGTTATCGGTGGCAGGGAGCAAAGGACGGCTGCAAGTATGGGACATCAGCACCAATCCGAGCGTGAGAAAGGTGTTCGCTGGCAGGGTCCAGTTGCCAGAGTCAGATGGTAAGGAGAGGTTAGTGGGTGCCAGTGTGAGTGACGACGAGAGTGAAGATGAAGAAGGAGACGAGGCTGAAGAAGGAGGGCAAGATGGCTGGGAATCCATGGATGAAGATTAAGAAAACTGGTTCAAGGATAAATGGGATACTTGGGATGACTGTACGACATAGCATGAGCAATACCAAAGTGCTAAATGGCCTACGCTGGTGAATGATACCTAGGTATTAGCTGTGGCGGCCGCAAACTGTGAAGCACGAGGCTGGTGGCTCAGTAATAAGCTCAAGGTCATGAGTCGGAGGCTGCAGGTGCCTCTCTAGGCGGCCGGTCGCGCCTAGTGAGCCTCCACAGGCTGGAAACTAAGGACCCTGCCACCCATTCAAGCCAAGTTTTGCCTCCAAACTTGTCCCCCAACTTCACCTACAATCGCCACGACCAAGTGACAAAAACACATTTCTCATCGTCCCTCCACCAAATCATCGTTAAATTGCATTTGCTTCGATAGAATTTGTCGCATCATCAATCCCATCAATATGGCAGGTGGAGACGGCAGTCAAGACTCTAATAGTACGCCTGAGCCAGTGGAAAAGGGCTTCGCTACGCTCAACCAGTTGCAGTAAGTGCCGAAAATTGCCAGATTTGATGAACATGGCCACTTCTGGATCTGAAATTCATACTGACATTCATTTTACAGGATTGGCGTGAAGGCTTTTGTTGAAAAGGTGAGTTTTTCTTCAAGTTCCCTGGATGTCCACGTGACTTGGGAAATGTCAGATATTGAACATGTCGCTGACGGAGACCAGAATGGGGAACCTAGAAAAGCAGAGATTTTGTCTATCAAACAGCGGAATGGTGCTCTAACCTTCTAGTATGTGTGTTCCGAGTCTGAAGTGGCTGCTAGAACCCAAAACTAACTTATACGACAGCGTGCATTATGTCGAATTCAACAAGCGTCTGGATGGTAGGCATTACTGAGGTATATTATTCTGCAGAATCTTGCTAACAGGTCACAGAATGGGTTCCAGCTGAGCGCATCGACCTCTCTCAGGAAGTCGAATGGCCTGTCCCTGAAAAGCCTGAAAAGAAGAAAACCACCGTGACCACGAAAGGACCGCCATCAAAAGCCGCCACATCAAAATCCATCACCACTAAAGCCGGTCGTGCAAGGACAGATTCCCGTGCCAGTTCTGCGACACCCGATCTCCTCATCTCCAAGGCGGGCAATGACCGAAAACGCCCCGTGCCCTCCAGGGCGAGTGGAAAGGAGAATCGCGATGAAGCGCTTGCACCTGATGGGGATGCCTCGCTCGTGATCACCAAGGAAGGCACACCCTTGCCAACCATCGGCCATGAAGACATCACAGCAGGCGGCGTGGACATGGAAATGCCCGACGTGACCAAGACAGAGGAGAAGGTTGCTCCCATCATGGAGCCAGAGGAAGAAATCGAGAAACTCCGCACTGGTGGCTCCATGGTGCAGAATCATGCTCAACTGCATCTCGTGCGAAACTTGAACAAAATCCAGATGGGCAAACACATCATCGAACCGTGGTACTTCTCCCCCTATCCGCAAGAATTCAGCGACGTGGACATGGTCTACATCGATGAATTCTGCCTATCCTATTTTTCCTCTAAGAAAGCGTTCGAGAGGCACCGCACAAAATGCGAGTTACGCCATCCGCCAGGTAATGAGATCTACCGCGACGACTTTGTGAGTTTCTTCGAGGTTGATGGCCGACGGCAGCGCACTTGGTGTAGGAACCTTTGTCTCCTGTCAAAACTGTTCCTGGATCATAAGACGTTATATTATGATGTCGATCCATTCTTGTTTTACTGCATGGTCACCCGGGATGAGTATGGATGCCATCTCGTCGGATATTTCAGCAAGGAGAAAGAGTCGGCGGAAGGGTATAACGTCGCTTGTATTCTTACCTTGCCGCAGTATCAGCGACAAGGTTTGGGAAGATTGCTCATCGCTTTCTCATATGAGCTGAGCAAACGGGAGGGAAAGTTGGGGTCCCCTGAAAAACCTCTTTCGGATCTCGGATTGTTGGGTTACAGGCAGTATTGGAAAGAAGTGCTCATTGAGCTTCTCTCGGATCCTGCACGGCTGCCTCCTCCTGGATCAGCATCTCACACACCAACCTCGGAACAACTTCATCCTCACTCATCCTTAGGATATGCGGCACCATCATCGCAATATTCCACCAGTATTGCCGAGATAGCGAGCCAAACAGCGATGACGGAGAAGGACGTACATGAGCAACTCGAAGTGCTGAAACTACTGCGTTACCACAAAGGTGCGTGGATCATTGTCGTGCGAGATGAGTTGCTCGAGTGGCAGGAGAAGCGGAGGGAGAAGGAGAAAACCAAAGGCATCAGGAGGATCGATCCCAGCAGACTTAACTGGAAGCCGCCTGTCTTTACGGCTAGTAGTCGGACATGGAATTGGTAGTAGAGTCGGCTTTTGGGACTGTTTATTAGCATGGCGTTGGAGGTATTCTGCTAGAATGGGAGACGTACAGCATGGATTGAACCTGAGGCGCTTTGGACTTTCTTGGATCGATAGCAGCATCTTGGCGGTTTCTGTTGCATGAAACCGTTAAGGCCATGATTTCTAAATGCCGCCGCTGAAACAGATCCCTTCTTGAAATGCTCATGAGATGATGTAAATCTCATCATATGTCAGGAGCGATCATCAAGAGGTTATATTCGTATATCGGGCCAATTCAGCATCGCCACTTGCAGCATTGTCTTCGGACCCATTTTCTGTCATCTCAGTGTCCCCGTTATGGCCGTTCTGGCTACGACTGGGAGACCCTTCACCATCCAGACCCAAACTGAGATTTTCTGGCAGATCGATCTTCTTCTCTCGCGCGAGTTGTTCCGCCCATGCACGAGCTCTAACGAGATATCTGATATTGGCCTCTCTTCTCTGATCTTGGGAGTGAAGGATTGCTTCGTTGACGTCCTTGGCAACCTTCCGTCTCAACGAGGGATCAACTAATTCTGCCAAGGCGCCGAAATCGTTTTGGATCTGTGCAGTCGCTGGGCCAGATGACCCCGATGCAGCTGCCTGAGTCCATGATTCTTTGGGCACGATCAGGAGGGCCATTGCCCGTTCGAGGTCTGTTTTAAATTGTGCTTCCAACGGAGCGTAGGGTGCAAGGTTATTTTGGGCAAATTCAATTGCTTTGCCCACCAAGCTAGGATCTGAGGACGTGAAACTTTGACGGATTAATTCGACAAGTTGAAGCCTTAGAAGGGAGAAATGAAGTTTTTTATCGGTATCCAGTAGCTGATTGAAAGAAAGTTAGGACAGGGACAAATAAAGTTGTAGGTAGAATGTGTGAGGATAGGTACAACAAATCATACTGAGGACTGAAGGTGTTTTTGCTCTCATCTCTGCCCGAAGGCTATGAGTGGTGCATGAAAACAAATCTAATCATGAAAAATGAAGGTGGGAAGGTCGAGTCAAGACTCACTTCTGGGTTGAGTTCGTTTATGAGCTCAATTGCTGCTTGTAGGTCTCCGCGGTGTATTGATTCTCGAATCTGGACCCTCTCTTGAATACAACTGAAATCTGCTTTGGGCTGAATGTTGGCTTCCGCCGCAAACTTTTCAGCCGCTGATGGGTAGCCTTCAGTGATCAGGTAGTCCATGATCAAGTTGTTGACATCACTGTAGAATGAGGTTGATCAGCCAGGATCCACCCAGTGTGCGTGTGTGTCATGCATCAAGATTCTGCAGTTTTCAGAAAGCAAAATATTCGCAGGCTCTTCAAATGTTTTCAGAGAGATTCCCATTTTGTCAAGAATACATCCTATAAAGCGAAGGGGCTGATCGATGGGAGGAGACATACGATTTCGATATCTGGATATCGGCGACCTGTCGCTCGAAAGAATGCGCTGTAGTAGCAGCCTTGTTGGATGATTAGCACACTAGCCAGCAAGTAGGCTGATAGCTCACCATGTTGACAGGTCTCCAGAAAGCTCAGGGAGTGGATGAACACTCCGAGGACAGACCGTCCTTGATCACTGTGATTAATACATAATCATTTCAGGTCAAGAAAGAAACAACTGATGGCAGAGGATGTTGGTGGAACAGAACGCAAAATCGGTGTTTGAAGGTACAGGGAGATCATGCACGTGATCATGTCTCTGCAAAGGCTTAGCCTTCGTTCAGGCTCCACTATAACTGCAACTGAAGAAGCTTCACGTGACTGTGGGCGAAATTACATCGAGCGACACAAGTCAGCCGCAGCTGGAGACCTGGTGACGGCGAATAAGTCTACAAGTAGAACACAGCCACACCAGCCAGCCCACAACCCAAGGCATATTTCGTCAAGACTTCTCTTGTTGCCCATCTTATTTTCGAGGCTGCTATCCATTCTTCCTCCCCCAGTTACGACCTTCGTTGCCTGTCTAGTCTCCTCGGCCTGCTCGCAATCGCTCGACCCTACCCTAAGACTCCTACCATTGCAAGAAGCATAACGAGGCAGGAACCATGGTCATATTAGGCGGCTTGGAGCTTGTCGCAGCCGGATACCTGCTCAAGGAAATCCACAACGACAGCAAAGAGGAACAAGAGAGGGAGCGAGAGAAAAGAAGGAGACGGAGACGCCATTCTCGTGAAGACCATCACCGCCCGCATCGCTATGATGATCCGAACCCGAACCGTCCATCTCGTCCACCCCAGCAACAGCTCCATCCACCCCAACAGCCTGGTGGTCCGCCACGACCATACAGTGCACCGCCGCCGCAGAATCGACCGTCGATGATGCCGATGGCAGTGGCAAGTGCGCCAATGTGGCACCCACCACAGCAACATGGTCTGCCACCTCAGCAAAGGCCCCCGCAGAGTTATGGGACATGGCCGCAGGGACCATCATCACAACAGCAGCGACCATCTCAACCCCAGCCTCAATGGCAAGGCAGCCCCCCTCAAAACAATACAAACAACAGTTTCGTCCCTCCACCCCTCCAGCGGCCCGCAACAGTGTATCCCCCCCCAGGGGTGCACATCGACCTGAAGACAGGCAAGATCCAGCATGATATGTATCCGCCGGAGATGCCTCGCCCCGGAGAAGCACGAGAGTACTATGAAGGAGCGCGCAAAGAATATGACCGTGTACGAGAAAATTCAGCGCCCTCCCAGCAACGGCCGCAATATCAGCAGCCTCATGGAGCAGAAAACGGCCAGCACAGTTATTCGCAGCCTCAGATTAACGTCACGCCAGCACACGTGCCTACACCGCCACCGCGACAGGGATACGCAGAACTCGATGCGGAGACTCCCGGTCGGTATCGCCCCTACGGCAATGAAAAAACTGGAAGAGGAAAGTCAAACTCGTTCTCGGGGCGGTACAGGGATGATGACATGGATATGCGGGATCCCCCGCCCGCTTACCGCGAGTGAAACAGGAAGAGCGTTGATGAGGCACCGGAGTCATGTTGCAGTGGCTTGATGAAATGATTTCAAGGGACCATGACAACTTATGAAACATAAGAAAATCTGCCTGGAAAGTACAAGAGTACTTGCTAGTATGACTATCACCATGGATAATATGCGGCCCCACTAGCTGGTCTAATGAGCCCATAACAAGAAAAAAAAAGATGCATGGCTATTATCTAGCACCATATCGTCTTTCCACCTTTGAGACCGTGATATGGGGAATTCGAAATACTGGATTTCACTCTTGTTTGATGATTTTGACACAGATATCTGCCAAACAATGGGTGCGAATATACTGTCGTACAGAACCGTTTATCTGTGTTCGGAACGCGATGGCGTGGCGTGGAATCTGGCTCACAGATGCTAAGGAAGTGCTTAATTGATTTGACGAGAATCCCTCTCTGCACACACACCACACATATACACACATCTCCTGTTCTTGTTGATCTTGTGAGCGTGGCAGGACATTTTCGCACGACTATGTACCACCATGATTAATGCCATTCATGCGCAACAGAATTACTTCCCAACTCTACTGTCCAAACACCTGGTGATGCTTGTCTTCCCTCTACAGCGCCAACACAGCAACTGCACCAGCAATGACCAACCCTGCGGCGCTGTAGCCGACTTGACCCGCTCCGCCAGCGAATGTGGATGCGCTGGCCGCTGGCGCGGAGGCGGCTCCCGAGCTCTGCCCAGCGGCCGTTGTGGCGGCGGTCGCGGTAGCCAGGGTGCTAGAGGCGATGACAGTGGTGCCTGGAAGGGTGCTGTAGCCGCCGCTGTAAGTAAACGACCCAGAGGATGCCGTGGCAGTGGCCCAGCTGCTGCCGGTTTTCGTCGCGGTGGTGGCCCAGGTCGAGTTGCCTGACGAACCCCACGTGTTGGTGCCGGTCTGGTATGCTGGGGGGCCCAGGATGATGGAGCCACCACTAACGGTGCTGGTGCCGCTGACGGAGGTGGAGGCGGAGAAGGAAAGGACGGGAGACGATGAGCTGGAGCTGGAGCAGCTGTCGCTCTTGAGGCAGGAAAACTGAGTCGAGTCTGTTTGATGTCAGCGCCAGATCACATTATGTCTGTGCAATCGACCCGCAGATCTCAAAAGTCGGGGTAGTTCTTACATTGGAACTCTCCAGTGCCGTCGACAATGATCAGCATTCCATAGCCGGTATCGGTGTTTTTGGTGCCTGGAGCCAAGTCGCAGGGGACTTTCCAATCAAAGGACTTCTGAGCAGCAGGGATGCCTGATGCAATGGCAGTGTCTTGGAGCACGCAGTTGGTGCTGGGTCCGTGGCAGAGCACAAGGCTCACCGTGACTCCGTCGGTTGGGTGGTCCTCAGGGTCCCAGGTCACAGTGAAGTCTTCGCCTTGAGTAACGGGCTGCGTTCTCTTGTCAGGTTTTGCAGGCCGCAAGTTGCTCTAGGACAAATCCAAAGACATACATTTGACAAATCTGGGGTGAGCAGAGGGCCCCATGTCTGTTCACCAGGCGCGGTATATGCCTGGGCCAAGGTCGCCAGACCGGCGGCGAGGAGGGAAGCGACGAGCGAAGGCATGTTTTGGTCGGGGTTGATCCCTTTTTTTTTTTTTTTTTTTTTTTTTTTTTGCAAGCGTTCAAGTTCTTCTCGGGAAATCGCAGAAGTCCTACAAAGGCCGTAAAGAGTGACTGTAGTGAGCACAAAGTATTTCGAGTCAAGTGAGCGACGAGGAAGGATACATAAAACTTTAACAACAGGCCAGCTGGAGGTGGTGCGAGAAGAACGATGGACCAAACGAGTGCAAAGAAGGAAAAGGCCTTCAATCTAATATGAGCGGCGCAGCAGGGCTGAAGAAGAAGTGCAGTAGTCCTCGGTCCCTATGTCGTGGACTCGTGTCGTGAAGACCATTGACTTGGCTCAGCCTCCGCTTCCACCCCGTGTTTCATCGGTTTGGGAAATTGGCTGTGCGACATACGAACTTCCCCTGAATCCAGCAATCCAGTGAAGGGCGATGATGGCATAATGGACCCCAATCTCAGCATGACTCCAAGCTCGATAACCGACCTGGCTACCTCGGTGTTAGGCGCGTGAGGGTGACATTCGCCTGGTGGTAGTTGGGGACTTGCCTTGTAATGGAGTTCGCAGCCGGTGCTGGAACAGGAGCTGAAACCCAGGAGCCAGGAGAAGGAGAAGAAGAGACTAAGACATCAGACCGTCCGTTCTGGAAGATGTGCAGCATCATCGCTCTGCAGTAGAATGGCTATTTGCCCGAGACACAAAGTCTCGACGGACAGGATCCTGTTTGTTTGTTTGATTGGCACATTCCCGTGGGTGTTGATCTCCTGGTACGAGGTAATCGTCTCGAAATGTGGAGAGAGAAAAATATCGGAGATTTTGCTCCGAGATTCAGCTGAGTTCCACTTTGGGGGATTGGTTTTTCTTCTGGTCCTTAGTCCGTGCTATCCAATGCGTTTCTGTTTTTAACTCTCTCCCCTCACCGCTTTCATTCAGCTTTGTGTGTGGGTCTGTTCTGCGTCTCTGGGCTATACCTATACTCGTACAGCCAAAAAGTAGGTGACAAGGGCTGTGTCTCCAAATGCATCATACCAGAGACGAAACGAGTCTTTAATAGTTCATATTTACTAGCAGATCAGCCCCTCTGTGTAGAACAGCCCATGTAAGCGAGAAATATCGAAGGCTCGTTATGTGTAGACATTTTTAGGACCAAGGCGGGGGAGAGTTACTTTCCAGGCGAGTATATCACATTCCTGTGCGTCGACAGAGTATTGAGTGGATTTCCGAGTCTTGGCATGCAGCAGAGGATAAAGCAAATCCACATAATAATTGAGTGCTTGGTACGGTAAAGAGTGAGTCTTATTCATAAACAAGACTCAGCACAAGCACAGGTAGAGAGAGCCTTACAAGGCTGAGGGAATAAGGAGCGGCCTTTCCCCAGTTGACTTCCCCTTGGCTTCTCCAGGCGGTCGGCAGATGGCCGGCGATCCCCCCACAACCCCCCGAGCCTCCTCTCCGTCACCAGCATTACCTTCTCTTGCTCGCCCTACCTAAGATAAGCAAACAGCTTTTATTAACCAACAAGCCAACTTGTTCCAGTCCAGGCGTCCCAAAACCGAGTAAGCCTGAGTCGACCTGCTTAAGTTCGCTCAAACCTCATGGAGGCTCGCACGCACCCAACCGACCCTTCGCAATAGCGGCACGGGGCCCAGTTTGTGTGCCGCCATGTCCTCGTCTCCATCGAAACCTAACGAGCTACCATTGAGCTCGAGACATACTCCAGCCTCGACTATCCTGACTCCTGAATTTGACAGCGACGACTCACCCGTTGCGCGGACCCGTACGTCCCGCGAAATCGAGTCGGAAGGGGTCGAGCTGCGAAAACTGCACCACGCTCCACCGCAGGGCAAACACACAGAGTCAGACGATGGGCCCTCGGAAAGCGACAGCGATGCCGCGGAGGATAAAAGATATGTCAAACGGCGCCTACGCAGGAGCGCAACACACTCCAAAGACTACACAGACGCGGAAGAAGCCGCTCTGGTGCGCAAGCTGGATCGCAGACTGGTCGTCTTCTTGGGCTTCCTCTACATGCTGAGCTTTCTCGACCGCTCCAATATTGGGAACGCCCGAATCGCTGGCCTGGAAAAAGACCTCGCTCTCTCGTCTGCCCAGTACGATTGGCTCCTCACGGCTTTCTATATAACCTACATTGGCTTTGAGTGGATGATTTTGCTATACCGAATCCTTCCAGCTCATATATACATACCCCTGTGTGTGTTATCGTGGGGCCTCGTTGCGAGTCTACAAAGCCTAACCACATCCTTCGGCCAATTGCTCCTCCTGCGCGGTGTCTTGGGTATCACTGAAGCCGCTTTCGGCCCCGGGGTCCCCTTCTACATGACATACTTCTACAAGCGCTCCGAGCTGGCCTACAGAGTTGGGCTGCAAATATCCGCCGCGCCATTGGCGACCAGCTTTGCCGGCTCCCTGGCATGGGTGATTGTCAAGCTAAGCCAGAACGGGCCCATTGCTCCCTGGAGAGCGTTGTTCTTGGTTGAAGGGTTTCCTTCGATCATCACGGCCGTGGTTGCATGGTATTGGATTCCGGACTCGCCGTCGAAGGCTCGGTATTTGACGGCCCGGGAGAGAAAAGTTGCAGTCATGAGACTCCGGGCTGAAGAAAGCCAAGGTTCCCATTTGCGCGATTCCTCTCACGTATCGAGCGCGACGTCGTTGGCCCAACGGCTCAACGTCAAGGAAATCCTCACTACAATCCGCGATCCGAAATCGTACCTCACAGCCCTCATGTTCCTTAGCGTGAACGTCTCATTCAGCTCCCTCCCCGTCTTCCTCCCCACCATTATAAACAGCATGTCCTTCTCCCCTCTGGCCTCCCAGGCCCTCGCCGCTCCACCGTACCTGTTCGCCTTCTTCTTCGTGCTCGTGGTGGGTCGGTACAGCGATAAAGTTCCCGATTCGAGATCCTTGTTCCTCATGGGTGTTGCTTTACTCGGCGCCATATCATATGCTGGGATCGCCATCGCCGGATATTTACACGAGTCCCTGGGAGAGGCCGGGAGTATAACTATCCGCTACGTCGCCGTTTACGGAGCGGCGATGGGACTGTTCTCCTCGGTCACACTCATCATCACGTGGACCCTGAACAACCAAGCCACGGCGACGGGGAAAGGCACTGGCTTGACCATCCTGAATGTCATAGGCCAATGTGGCCCGCTGATCGGAGTGCATTTGTTCCCCAGGGGCCAGGGACCCTTGTATATTCAAGGGATGGCCGTTTGTGCCGGGTTCATGGCCTTCGGGGTCGCCGGCCTAGCTGGTGTCTTGAGATTGGTCTTGCGGCGTACGAATAGGAGGAATGGGTTTGAGAACAAGGAGACCGGGCCGGGGGGGGAGTATGAATTGGTGAGCAAAGAGGACGAAGATGGGGAAGGGGAAAGAGCAACAGGAGGTGGTGGTGGTGATGAAGATGCCGAAGAGACTTTGATTGGCAGGGCGAGGAAGGTTGGAGCTGAGAGCTCAGGATTTAGGTATATGCTCTGATGAACGATGAAGGGACTATTGCTCCGGGGGGAAGGTGGGTTAATATTTTCTCTCACAGAGCGCCAGATAGACACACAGACCCAGGTAGATCGATGTGGAATGCCCTATAATGACGGGGGATTTTGCCTCTAGAATTGTTAAGACGGACAGTTGGTGCCATTAAATCTTCTGAATCGTAAGGTTGGAACGGATGAGGTGCGAGAGTCAGTTTCAAGAGGATCGAGAAATCTCGTTTTTTCTTTTCCAATCCTTGACAGAGGTATGTACAGATTATGGAACGCCTGTGGATTTGTCCATTCATTCGCAGGATCCAGTCGGGACCATGTGGACAGAGGACACACTCCCCTCTCTCGCCAATGTTCATTCTCGCTTTTTGATGATGTCTGTGCTGTTTCTTCCCCTTTGACAAGGACAACCAGTGACAGTCTCTATCCCTTCACCGCTCCTCCTACGACGCCTCGAAACTCGAGTTCGTGATCCGCACCCACTCTTTCATGTACATTGGGCCGTATAGTTGGCTCCTCGACCTCTTACTTGTCTCCCTTCCCCTCCTGCTCGCCCTTCTCCTTAGCCATCTTTTGCATCTGCTCCATGGTCATGTTATGTTTGTCACCACGGGTGGCTTGCTCGCTTTGAGAGGCTAGCTCGGGCTTCCATTCTCCTCGACCGGTCTTGGCCTTCTCGACGCTGTCGGATTTGTGGCGTTCGATGTCGGCGGCTCGTCCTTCGTTGTCTATTGCGTTTGTGTTCTCTCGGTTAGCAACCACAGTCTCATAGTTGAAACCCATCATGGGGGAGGGGGTATTCTTGACTTCAGGCCCCCTTCCCCTTCATAGGTTTACCTTGGTCGAAAGATATGTGAGGAGGAGAGATGCCCGTGGTAAGAGGGCAGGCCAACGTACGTGCATGGTCTTCACTCAGTGCCAGACGTGCTGATGAGGTATGAATGGCTGCAATTGACCTCGGAGAGAGGGCTCTTCCAGCAGTCCGTAGAGGAGCCGGTGTGCGAGTGAGATATGACATATCGAGAGAAATCTGAAGCCGACGCGAGCGTGCAAAAAGAGATCTTTGGGCCGACCTGGGATCAGTCTGAACTGTTCGTGCAATGCCAGCGAGGCAGAGAGACAAGATCGATGTTCAATGAAGCTTTCTTGGGGGAGCGCCTCAGTAAAAAACTTCCCTTGGTTGCAATTGAAGTTCTGCCCAGGAGTGCACGTCCTGGTCGTCCTGGTCGCCATAATGACGTATGAAGGACAATCAGCGAAAACGTGACCATCCGTCATTGATCGAACTGCTCCCCACGGCTATCATCGCCGAAATTATTAGTACCAGGGCTAAGATCTCCAAATGCGAATCGGATAAATCGTCATTGGTAGACGCCGCTTTGACTGCCAGCTTCTGGGTCGATCTTGAGAAATGGATAGCGGTTGAAGTCATGAGTGAGTGAAAGCTTTAGGCAAGCCTTCTCACGGCATTGCCAACTTCTCATAGCCCTTGTCGTCTGGATGGCTGCTTTGTCTCTTAACCCGAAATGCATTGGAGAAACATACATCGTCTTGCACCTGCATCGCCGGAGCATGAACCGAAATTGAGACCGTGACCGAGATGGTCTCCTGCATCCTCGGTGTTGCCATACTTGTACAAGCAGAGCAGCCAGACATTTGGCTTTTCTTGCGTAGCTGCATCAGGCGCCCCCCTGTTCTGCAGCACCAGGAAAGAACTAGCGAACACCAGCCAAACCGGCCAATAGGCCCGTCCTCAAGCCACGATCCCCACTTGCTTCTTCGGCTACACTTGGCATTGGAGGCTCTGCTACCCCACCGGAGGGTCATATCAGCCAATCATGATAACAGTGTGACAATTTTCGGCTTTCGAAATTTCCTTGGCGCCAGCCAGTCTAAAAAGAAAGTCTTAAACCAACGACCAGTTTCGCACAAACTTGGCGTTGTCTCGCACGCTTGGCATGGACCATGGCTGCTATGGCAAGCTCAAGCCCCGGGGATACGGAGCTTGTTGCTGCATGGTGGCACGGGCCCACGTGTTCTCGGTCATTTTTTGCAGCATTTGGCAGCAGAAGCCCAACAGCTATTATGCAAATGCAGGGACCGTCTTCTCTCCCAAACGATTCTCCCCTATTCTCCGGATGGACTTCTGCCCATGGCACCTAGTGCACATCACCAAGCCACGCTCTTCATTCATAGCGGAGGCAAACCTTCGGAGTCGAAGAGGAAAGACCAAGTGCGCCGTCAACATCAACATGCTGCGAGTGTGGCACATCAAAGGGGACAGAGGAAGAGATTGCCACGGTCGCAAACTCAGCCTGTCCCTGCCGATACCTCCACCGCGCTCACCACTCCGTCGCCTCGATCGGATCTCAGTGGAAGCCTATTCGATCCCTTTGATGCTTTCTTCGTGAACAACGTGTCTGCGCATGCGCAGATGATGTTTCAATCCGGTATGTTTGTGGTCTGCTGTGTCCGCAGTCTCGGTCTGATTTGCAGCCATAATCGAGCAATGGCCGTCCTTCGCGCTGTCAAGCAGGAAACAAGACATCGACAGATGGCGATCAGTCACGGTAAAATATGCACTTGAATCTCCCTACCTAGTGCCAGCGATCACCTATGCGGGATCTTCGTATCGTTACTTCTTCGGCTCGACGGATCCGTCCGCAAAATTCCATCGCATCAATTTCTATCATGAGACATTGAGACAACTTCGGGAGGCGATGCTTAAGCCAGATAGTCAATGTGGGGACGCGATGCTTCTAGCAATTGCCATACTAACCATCCACGGCCCTCCAAATGAAATGCAAGGTCGGACTCTGCTAGGCTCCCAGCAGCTGAGGGATTACGAGTATTATGGCTGCAAAACATGGGAACCGACCCATTTCCAGGCGTTATTGTCCTTAGTGAAACAACGAGGTGGATTGAACAAAATTGGGATCGACTCTCTAGCCGGGATTATTATGACGTGCGTAATGTTCCAACATCTCCCAGAAACTTAACTCACAGTTTAGGATTGATATTGTTGATTCAATTTCGGTTCTCAGGGTGCCTACTTTTCCACTATTCTTCCCTCCGAGCCTAATCCTTCAGGATCTCCGTCGACATCGCAAATCGGACAAGAGCGATTCATGCCAGGGCTTTCGCTTCTTGAGGAACAGGCACCTAGGCCGACGGCTTTTGACGATAATTGAGGACGTCGATGCTTTACTCGACGCTTACAACACCTTTCTGCAAGATTCTGGTTCTAATGTAGATTTCGGTCAGTTAGTTGCGGCATGGCGCATTTTGCAGCATCAAACACTATCGCTGCCAAGTGGCGAGGATCTCCTTTTCAACCTATGTCGGGCCGCAGTCATAGTTTTTCTAGTCGAATGTCTCGAACCCCTGCCAGTCATTGGCACTTTCCACCGGAACGGTTCACGGAGGCTGATGTTGTTAATTGACGAGTGTGATAGGCGGGAGTACTGGCAGACGTCTCCTAATACAATGCTCTGGGCAACTGTGGTCGGCGGTTTCGTCAGCCGCGAGACTTCGCTTCGCCTGTGGTACATCGAACAGCTTCGTGGAAGTCCGATAACGACCAGTGAAGAGCACTGGGAGGAGGTTTTGCATTTGGCGGAGGCGTATCTTCCATTCAGACATCGACAAGCGCAAGGTTGCCGACAGTTTTGGAGCGAAGGATGCGGTTGGTTGGCTCTCGCCAATCCATATCTGAGAACCAGCTAAGAATACCTCGTACGACTTCCCGGTGATACAGCGACGACCTGCGTGCATACACGAACACATAGCTGTGGTCGGAATCTCCGGATTCCAAAAACTTTACGACCAATATGACAAAACATAGGTTTCTGCTTCTGCTTTGCCTCTGCATCATGCACCGGCTGGCGGCGCACAAAACAACTGATGGTGCATGCCCTGGTAGAATCGGCTGTGATACTCAAGCGCAGCCCTATCTATCCTCCAATGGCGGAGTACATGAGGTTGGGAAGCATCTTCCCAGAAAGCACTGGATGTTGATGCAAGTGGATGAAGGGCAAAAACAGTTTCCATTCGCATACGGACCATGGTATCCGCCCCCATTGGAAAGGTTCGCGTTATTCAAATCAAGGCAGAAACGCGTCTCGTGTTCATTCTTGGGATTGAGCTTGTACAGGACAAGAGCAGGCCGGCAAGACGCCTCCATCACGGAGAAAGTCTTGGTTTCGCTCTAACATGAAGACACATGCACACAATCTACAAATCACGTTCCAGAACATGGCCGGCCCTCGACTAGCCTGGGGTCGAAAATCAAGAGTTTGGGCCTTTCTGGGCCTCTAGCATTCTGGTCTTCCCCAAGCCGGTAAATTGGTTACTAGAGCCTCGTGTTCGCTAGTTGTCTTCCGTGCGCTTCTCAGCCGTGAAACGAACAACGGTAACAGTTTCCCTGTCAATTCCTCAGCAGACAGAAGCCCGACAGGGCCCTGCAGGAAGAAGTGCGGCCACAAATACAGCCCCAGCACCGCAAGAATGCCACATATCGTTAAAATGTCGGGTTCATCATCCAAAGCAAAGATCATGCGCTGTCAATACTTTTACCCACCCTAGCGACGATGTTCCAGCCCGAAGAGCGCTGTGGAAAGTATTCGGTGGTATCAGAGACTGCCTGGAGTAAATTTGGCCATTTGATTTTCTGAACAAGGCTGACGGTGGATAGGCCCTCCCCCAAAGAGACAGGCGAAGCTCCCCAAATACTATGCACCGTTCTCGACCAGATGGCCTGCTTTGACCCTGATCTTGCTTGTCGTCTTGGCTTGTATTGCTGCACTTGAGTATGGCCTTCGCTCAGGTCTGACGCTGGAAGAGAAGAATCAGCAACAAAACCACAGCAGGCTGAGGGTGAAGAGACAGGACGCAGATGTTTCAAGCTCGCCAGCCGTCGTGGTGACAACGCCGGCAACGACAGAGGTCCCTTCAACCAGTCCCGCTTCTCAAGATGTGACGACTCCAAGGTCGGCTGCTGCGTCCCCGGCAGCAAGTACAAGCCCTGTCGAGGAGTCAGCCATCGACTCCAGCTCTGACGTCTCTCCGACAGAGCCTACCTCAACCATGACCACTGTGGTAACCGGTAGCGTTACAGCTGGTGCATATATTGACCCAGCTACACCATCAGCTGCAGACCACTCCTCAACGACACCCCGTTCCAGCAATCCAATATCATCCCCGTCGACGTCCTACATCACGCCTGCCACCCCTCAAAACCCTACGACTCCGGTAACATCTACGATTGCCTTTGAGATTACTACAAAACCCATAGTGAGCAGCAGCACGGCTCCCTACATCGTGCCATCTACGGTCACGCCCGCGGTGGGTACATATACCTCCACTACAACGATGATGGCAGGTAGCACGACTCCATATATTTTACAGATGAGCAGCACTACTCCATATATCGTTCAGTCTATCATTCCTCCTACAGTGACTTCCTCAGGCAAAGGGACAACCAGTACCGTTCGATATAGTGCGCATACTCAGACATCCGGTGCATACGTTCAACAATCAACCACATCGATCAACAGTGCCGGTGCTGTCGTCAAACAGTCGGCCTCGACGAAGTCAACTAATCCCTACACCGTACCTTCCAGCGGCACGACTTCACGTATGCGGACCACCACGCCCATGGCTGGCTACTCCACGGCATCCGGTTTGGGTGACATAAGGACGGCGGAGCCTATGTCTCCTTCTATCTATGCTACGGGCTCAAACCCGGTTGTGTCCAAGACTGATTCAAACCCATCGAAGATCATTTACGGCGATGGTCATACGGTATCTGCTCCAACGCCATCCGGGAAACCCAGCGATCAACAATTCACGGTATTGATTACTTATGCCACGGAGGACTCAGCAGGAAAGCCATTTACAACCGTTGCCGCGGAGACCTACGATGTTGCAGTAATAACGGAGATGGTCTACGATTCAACCGGCGGTGTCTCAACCGTGGTGGCAACGTTAATTTCCTACAGCGGCACAATAACTCCCACAATTCTCGCTCAAAGTACTTCTCTTCCTACAGCTCCTCCAGACCATCAAAGGGCAGATGAAGTGGAGCTTGGCTTGGCTGTAACTAATGTGCAATACTTTCGCGCCACATACCTACCTGTCCTGATAGCCGTCATTCTCAAACTCATTTGGGCCATAGTTTTCACCTCCACGAAGATGATGGAGCCATTTTATCTCCTATCGAGGAAAAAGGGCGCAGCTGCCAAAGAATCACTCTTGGCGGACTATCTGACCACCAGTTTTTCGGTTGAGGGCATAAAGAACATGTTTTTTAGCCACCCAGTCGTCACCCTGGTGAGTCTTGTATATATTTGCGTCAACGCTCTACCAGCGATAGCGACGCAATCCTCGACTGTGAGAGCGACTGCATGGTGCAGAACCCCCGACCTCAAAGCAGCACGGTGCAATCCGATGTGGTACCTCAATATTAACTACGCCAGAGCTCTTGAAGCAATTCTTTCCCTAGTTGCTCTTATCATTCTTCTGGTGATCATGCTTTCTAGTCGCCGTTGCAGCGGAATCTTTTCTAACCCATCCTCAATCGCTACGATGGCATCACTTCTCAGTAGCGAAGACTTGATGGAGGAGTTACGGAGAATAGACCAAAAATCAAACCGTTCGTCCGCGAAACAAGTCCTTGATCCTTACAGATACATATTTAGCCGCCATCAGACAGGCACGGGCTACATGAGGTACGGAATTGTAAGAGCACCGAGGCAATCGATAGAGCTCACAGTCAAGGACACCGATCAGCAGGAATATTCGGCTCTGGTGCAGCCACGTGCTGGTAGGACCGATATACACAACTCTCGAAGTACGCTCTCGAATCGTTTTCTCACCGACACTCTCTTTCTTCTTTCAATTCTAGCGCTTCTCGGCGTGCTAATAGGTTACTATTTGGACGGACAGGACGACCCTTTGAATAACTACTTCAACCACAACCCAACCAGTCGACTTGTCCTCACAGCTGCTGCCAGTCTTCTCGACATTCGGTGGAAGCAGCTAGAACGAGAAGTTCGACTTCTAACACCCTATCGGCGATTATTCCGCGGGTCTGCAAAACCGGAGTCGACTATCCTGGTTTCACAGAACTCTACGCCTCTCAAAAGCATCTTCCCGGCGCTCTGGAGACGAAACTTCTTCCACGCTTTTGTGGCCCTTGTGGCCACACTGTCTGATGTTTTGATTATTGCCATCGGCGGCGTGCCGTGGAATGCTGCACAAATTTGGCTCGGTTTCCTTGTGAGTATATATGCCAGTTGGGCAATACTGGCCTTGATGGCGCTTACAGTCATCGCCATCTTCCGATGGAGGGCATTGAACGAGAAAATGATGATGCCACATGAACCTACAACAGTCCTTACGGTGTGGCTTATGCTCTGCAACGACGGCAACCAACTTCGTGAAGAAATGCAAGGGTACGAAACCATGAGTCCAAAAGAACGAGACGACAGGATCAAAATGAGAGGCGGATTGTATTGGGCTGGTTGGCTCACGCAGCCTGATGGCTCTCGGCGATGGTGTTTGGAAAAGGAAAGTGGTCAGGAGTCGAGGATGAATATGATGTATGAACATGATTGGTGATGATGGAATTTTTCATGCCATACATTCTGCCCGTCGTATCTTGATATTCGCTGCTGACCCATATTCCCACAGCCTCACTCTTTGCGTCGCAAGTTTGTAACGAGTACCGAATACCGAGGACTTAGATTACTCGAGAACGGGTTATGATAAGAGAAGGGAAAGCTAGCAATTCCCTTGTCCACATGTGTCGGCCATTCATTTTTTCCTGTCCCGTGCGTGGTCCCGCAAATATGACCGCGTGATACTCACCCCCTCTACGCGGTAGAGCCTTTGAGTTGACTAATGGCTGCAGGGCTTTGCTGCAGGGGAGCGTCCTTCGACAGCTCAATCGGTATGTTCTTGTCTTCAGCAGGGCCACTTGAAAGCCTTGGAGATCCTCCAACAGTGAACAGTACCGTCTCCGAGGAGAAGGTGTTTGGACTGACACCGATTGAAACCTGTCAAGTTGATTACGTAAATGGCCATCTCGCCTGTGTACCAAGTATGATCTCCCCCAGCGATGGCCTTTCCGTTTATAGAGAAATTTGGGCTGTGCCAGGGAATCCATTTCCCGAACATGCCATCGCAGGCAAACAACCGTCTAGTGGCTCGATTGAGTGGTCTGAGAACACGTCTATGCCACTGTTCAGGCCACTTTGCATACCACTGCCGCGATCACGTCTACTTGGTAGGTGGCCTAGGCTAGACTAGCGCCTTGGCTGAGATTGTACTCGGTACTTGATCATGATGTTCGTGGGGGGCAAATCGCAATTCCAGGCGCTATGCTCAATTGAGCCAGCTACTACAAAAGGCTTAGCGCATGATCTTGATACTATTAATGGGCTTTGGCCACCATCGATCAGCCTCAGGTACAGACCTCCAGCCTCAGAGATGGAGTCAGACAGGGGTTTTGGCCCATTAAAGTCTGAAACCATTACAATCGAGAAATGCAATTAGAAAGATTGCTTCACGATGTTACCCTTCTATAGGCGCCCAAGTACTCGGTAAGTATTTCAAGGGCACGTATCCCGGTGCCAGCTTGAGCCTCTTGCTGCGTCCTTCCAGGCCCCGAAGCTCTCGCTCCAAAGTCATCCATCATGGCTACCATTCATTATCCTTTACCAATG